GTAGGGAGGTGTAGGCTTCCTAGTTGTTGTCCTCGGGACGGTAGAAACCATTGAAGGCTGGAGACAATTGGTGATATGGTTCAAAGTCGTTCTCGATGGCGCAGATGCATCCACTCCTTGTGACTTATAATACCCAATGAAACTGTTTTGTTCTTCGTTATTACTATTCCTTTTGTCTCATATCCCTGTTTACTGTCTCTATTTTGGATTTCTTCTACTTCCTTCTCTTGCTTTGTGTGCTAATCCGAGGGAGTGTGGCGACTTGAACTGCTGCACATCGGTGCAAATTTCTATGTTAAAAACAGTCAGACGGGCACAGTGCTCCTCTGGTTCACATCGATTCTTTAACTGATTTTGGTTTGTGATAAAATCAACACCTGAAATTAGTCGAAATCCCTACTAGCACCCTTAATCTGTATAATACTTTTAGATTTAATTAAACTGGATTAATGTTTTTCTGTACAGTCTCATGTTTTTTCCAAAAAGTAACTGTTTTTGATAAATATGCATTCCGATGTAACTCGCTTCATATTAGTGTACACGTGTATGCTTTTCCTAATGAGATGTTAACACATGACCACTGTATCATATATAGGGATTATCAGATGATTTGTGCTGTACCATCAGATAGTTGACAAATAAATCAATACAGAACTTTAGCACACTTTTTCTTTTACAGTAGTTTTATTTTTGCATTCTTCGAACGAACCTCTGCCTTTCTCAACGAATAATGTTGACCGACAATAGGATTACGTTAGAGAAGAGTTAATGTTGTTCGTTTGAGGAGATACAAACTGCTTGACAGGATGGATCCTCGGGATGCTAAGAACTAATCACTTGATAGTGTCAGTAATATGGCTCAAGATTGTTCTCAGTGATGCAGATCTATTCGCTCTTTGTAACCTCCTAGATCTATTCAGTCCCAACGTTTTTCTATGTTACTATCCTCTCTCCCGTGGAATTCCATTCATTATAGATCCTTTGAGGTTTCTTTTCACTAGTTTTGTGTACTATATGAAATTTGGCAACTTGAACTATGCTGCACTTCTTTGTTATGTTCTACGCTAAAACTCAATCAGTCGGCATATTTCGAAACAGCATAAAAATCATTCATCTTATAGGCTTTCATTTACTCTTAGTATTTTTATTTTTGATTCTGTCACCTTGAGTTGTTTCAGATTTCTTTTCCTTTTTACTGAATACATCTCGTTGCTTTAGAGGAAATCAGAGTCAAGTACTGAATAGTACTCTCGTTCTTTTAATGGGTAGTCAGATGCCTTTCTATTATTATATCTTGTTGACAGTTGATATGACCGATTAAACTTATACATGGGTATAATAGCACTGGCAATCCAACTGAGATGCTAAATATGGTTATTCATCCTTAGCACCTTCCACTTCACTGGTCCACGTAAATATCAAAAGGTAAAGACTGGTCTGTAACAAAAAAGCACATCATGTTTTTATATATTTATAACCATATTAGAAATTGGCTAGGGCAGTGGAAAATGGATTTTTAGGAGTAGATCATGGATTGATATCAGTTAGAGAATCATTGAAAACCAGGGAGTACTGGACAGCTGTTTCATCATCATCGGCAGTACGCACCCATCCAAAACTAGGATAAAACAGCTGCCAATACTCCCTGGTTTTCAATGATTCTCTAACTGATATCAATCCATGATCAACTCGTAAAAACAAAACTAACCCTTACAAACCAAACTCTAGAAAAGGAAAATGGATTGTTTTGACTAGTTGGCGATTGGTTCAGGGCCAAGGTAGGAAAAGGATGACACAATTTTACAGTTTTCCGATCAAACGATGAATTCTGCAACCACTGGTTTAAAATATTGATTACTATTTTGGCCACTTCCTATCACTTTCATACATCAAAGATTGATGCTTGTTGGTGAATATTAGAAAAGCACCTTTTACATCTGAATTGAGATTTTGTCTCAAACTTCTGCATCAAGCTCGGTTCAAGTATGTTTTTCCCAAGTGGGTGGATTAGTTAAATTATGGTACTATTTTTTTCTCTGATCTTCAATTCTGAATTCCTGAAAACCCTATCGCCAGGATGAAGTAGGTGAAATGGAACTTGAACCGTTAGCCCATTAGCTGATAGTTGAGTGCTTAAACCGACGAACTATATCTCTATCAGTTCTTTTATATCTCTTAGTCTAATGAATGATTTTTTGTTATTCTAGAATAAAATCCATGGTGACAGTGGGTTAAGATGTGTTAGTTTTTTTTAAAGTTATCCACAACTTTGGAAAAGCTTGGAGACTAGATCTATATAGTTCGTATGAATTCAATGTGCGTCTGTGGCACAGCGGTAGAATGCTCGCCAACCACGGGCTTCGATCCCCGGTCGGCGCATTCTTTTACCTCACTAAGCCAGTAATCAGACTGATAAGGAGGAAAGGTTGGGCCTAAGGCTAGCAACCTCAATCGCGTAAAAATAAACACCACTGTAACAGAAACTTCAAGCCCGTAGCTTGAAGCCCCATGTTCCACTGGGAACTTAAAGGAATATAATAATAATAAATATGAATTCGGGAAAAAAGCTGCGTGATTATTGTTAAATGTTCGTTGAATTACTCAAAGCGGTGTTTTTTTCATGCTAGATACTTAACCTAAGTGTGAATTTACTGTCAGTCTTTCACGATTTCACTCTATGAAATACGACTTTGACTACCTGATGTTACTTTGTGTAGTAGATTATAACCTGAATAATAATAAGGTATGTATACTGAATTGTGGGTGAAATCAATTATACGTTTTCAATGAATTGCTTGAGAATTCTACTGCCTAAATCAATTTATCACATCCTCAAGATTAAGAGGTCTGTACACTTGAATCAATCATTTGTTTGTGATGCTCGTGGATATATCATGTTGAAATGCATTTTTATGTTTAAAGTTAGTGGAATTCATTAATCAATAGTACAGATTCATTTGTTGTGGAATGTTATTTGCACCTAGTGCGTATTGGATTAAGACACTAACTAGTTAACCTGTCTGAAGTAAATCGAGTGGGGAATGAACTCATATCCAATTGGTTAGCAACTGAATACTTGAATCAATGAATGAATTCATTACATATTAGTACCGGTACTTCCTGGTTTTCCAATCGTCCTTTTAACAGATGTCAGCTCGTGGTGAGACCTGTAACCAGTCAGGCTCCCTCAGACCAATACCTGAAAATTAATCTAATGCTCACTATCGACTGACTGTGTACAGGAAGTTACCTAGAGTTTAAGTGGGAATTTGTGACCAGCGAGGTCTAGTCCACCTTCTGAAATAACTGATTACATCGGCTGTTGGTTGCGCTATATGTATCATGAATTGGCAGAAGTTGGAATCTATGGGTCACTTGATAGGGTCCCAGTGGCTGAATGCCCTACGGACTCTTCTTGTAACTGGAAGGCCCTGAGTTCAAACTACACTTGGCTCGTACAGATGAAGAGTCTCAAACTAGAACGAAACGGCTGTCGATCACTCCTTGGTTTTTCTACATCTTTTAGCCGATTTCAACTCGTCATCAAACATGTGACCAATGAAATCCCTGCAAACCAGTACTTGCACTTACAACGAGTAGTGACTATGTTCGATTCGGCGTTTGCATATAAAAAGCCGGGCAACTTGAACTGCTACACTTTTGTACGAAGTTCCACGCTGAAAACTCAATCATATTTGATGTTTTGGCTTTTTAATTTATAATGTACATGGGCTTTTTTCATCATGATTGCTCATTCGAATTCCTCTTTTTGGTGATCGCATATATATGCTTGGAATTGTACATTGAATAATTTCTGACAAAATTACTGAGTAACTTCATCTGTATCTTATTACCTTCTTTTTAATGTTCAGCAATGCTGAGTCCTATATTGATCATGACTGACTGGTTGGATGACTGACTGATAGCACGCGTCTACCACTACCATTTGTATTATTAATAGAACTAGTGTTAGATTAAATTAGACTAGAGATGATCAGCTGAAGGAGTAGTACAAATTTATGAAGTCATTGACAGTTGGCGGTGTAGGTTTGCTGAATAGTGTCCAGGTGACCACAGGGATCTATCTCTAGAGACTTGTTGTTTTGTCTGGAAGTCATTGTTAATGGAACAGTTGTATGTTTGCCGTTACGTGAACTATGACATAAAGTTTCCTACCTTTTTATGTTCTGTTCTTCCGACTATATGATTTTGTATAGTGTGTGTTTATCGCCTTTTACTTAATGTATTCAGATGAGATGTGGTAAATCAGAGACCATTTAGGCAGTAATTTTATGTTATATGTAGATCCTGTATAATGTTTTCTCTCATCATTGGCCTATTATTATTATTATTGTCATTATTATTATTAACCCCTCCAGTTCTGAGTGGAACATAAGGCTTCAATAACACCCCCTTGTTTCGTCCTGTTCTGTGCAGTCCTCCTTAACTGGCTTCGCGATTGATTGTAAGCGCTCATCTCCTCCTCACGTTACTCTTAGAAGCCCAACTCGCCGATTCCCATTCGGTTCCAGTCGACTGATGACCTGGTGCATGATGTTACTCAACGGTCTCCTCAGCGGGTGTCCTTTATCATATTCTTGGGGCGATAGGTTCTTGGTTGGTTGGTTGGTTGGCAGCCATATTTCCTTTTAGCTAATCATTTCCGACCAACCACCTGATCTTCGGTATGGAACGAAGGCAGCTGTTGATATTTTATCGCATACATTTTTCTTGAAACACTAATTCTTCGATGAAGTTTTGTGTGTTTCATGTTTAGTTTATCAAGTCAAAGCATAATAACATGTTATCATATATACTGAATTATGATAGAACACAGAGATCTATAAATAATGTATGCTTACTTTCAATTACAATAAAATATGACCTTTGTTTTAAATGTATAATGGTTGTTTAGCAGATTTCTTCTCTTTATCATGTTTTTTTCTAACCTTGTGAAACTATTTCTCAAGTGTTTTTCTTTTTATAAATTTTAATTGTAGAAAATCCTGGTTCGTTTAAGTTCAGATGAAGATTTGAAGTTATCTGACACTCTGCGTTATTATGCTATCGATACAGGTGCTGCACGTGCATTACTCTATCGTCGATGTCGTGCTCTAGCAGACTATGAAGCTGCTAATCGTAATCTTGATAAAGCACGTGCACGTATGAAAGATGTTCAAGCGGCAGAAGATGCACAGACTGCAGCCAATGAACGATTTAAATCTATATCTGAATCAGCTAAACTTGGTAAGTTGTCAAAATTTTTATATGAATAGATGTTTTGATACTTATAACATTGTCACAACAAAAGACAAAGGCCAGGCAACAGATCGTTTATTATGGAAATCAACACGTATTTATAGATTTTCATATACATTATTATTCTTCTGATTGGTTGTTTTTCACTGAAAGTTAATCTTTCATCTCTTTGTGGCTGTTTTTTGAATGTTAGATCCTTTATCTGCTAATTGTATCCACCTACGCAAAGTCTGCTTTGATTGGTTGTTGAGTCAGTCAGTCTTTGTTCTTGTTTTCACATGACCAATATTTGGGATATACACGTTGATGTAAATTACCGTCTACCAATTCGGCTAGCAGGCAGCTCACACCACAACATCAGTCAAAATATACTTCAGTGAAGAAAGCTTGCCAACCGAGCGGGAGGTCTGATGCACTTCTAAATCTCTCCTGGCTGTTATGAAGCCTGGGAAAGGGCAACGTTAAGTGTATGGCTAGCAACCCTTACGTCGTAAGAACAGAGTCACTGCTAATTAAACTTTGTAGGTCAAATCTTGAAACTCTATGTTCCTCTCGGAACGTAAGGAATACAAGGAAATTCCTGTGAAAAAAAAACGCATTTTATCGAGTTGGCAAAGTTAAATTTTAAGCACCACCAACTATCAATCAGCGAATGACCTCGAATACACCGATCACGTGAAGGAGGCATTTTTGTGTATGGAATACATATATCTGTAGGAAAAAATGCATAAAAACTGTAGAAAAGTTTTACAGACGATACCTTCCTCTCACATGTGATAAAAATAGCTCTCAGGAGTATCAACAGAGTAGAATTCCATTGTGGGTAAAATTTGTTTTGATAAGGTCTCATAGTGTTATACAGTAATATTTCCTAAGCAATAAATTGTGCTCGAAACGTCGTCTTCAGTAAATATTACTGTGTAACACTGTGAGACTTTAAGAGAATAAATTTTACCTACAATGAAATTATACTTTGCCACAGTGCACAAGTTCTATTCTCATATCAACACAGCAATTTAACCACATTCTATGCATGTAATTTTTTAGGTCTTCTAACCTAACCTGAACCTAGCCCTATTGTGAAAATATGCCTAAACTAACCCTAATCTAACTTGAGCTAACCCTTTTGCGCCTTTATTAAGTTAACCTAACCCTAACTTGTCCTTGGCTTAAAGCGTAACTTAATCTTCCCCAAACCTAAGCTGAAACTTGCTAGATATCTTATTTAATAGCATAACACTGCAATGAGCATATTTTATTGATGATGACAACATTCAATAGCTTGCTTTAGTGAAAGTCTCAAGGTCATTGGTGCTGTCGCACTCCATTGGTAGTTAGTGGTACCTAAAGTTTAACTTGGCCATCAAGTTAACAAAATGAAAGGATACATTAAAGGTTGGAACAATTGTTCATCAATTCATGTTGATTATTTTCACAATAAATGTGTGACTCTTTATCACATCAGTCAATTACCGCTTCATTCGAGGATTGTGTTGATGAATCAGCATGGAATTCTCCCCATAGAGAGAGGTACTACGTCACTTTGATTTCATCACACTTGAAAAATTGCTCCATCGATTGGGCTTTGGGTGTTAGGCAGTTTCATTGAACCTCATACAACAAGAGGTGTACATAGATCATTAGTAAATCCGTAAGGCTACGCTTATCTCTTAGGCTCATAAATAATCCCCATCCAGACATTAATGAAAACAAAACACGTAGTTCAGCGAAGTCTCTTTTCGTTGAATTCATTCACTTAGCTGTACAATCGCAGTTATCTGTACTTATTTTTGTTTGTGTGTGTGTATACATTGGCTTTGTTAGACAAGAATAGAAATTAGTTAGGGTTGTTGCTTACGTCATCGAATTATTTTTTTTAAATGTGATGAATAAACACATTGCAACTGGGAGGGGGGGAAGATTAGTAAGAGGGTAGTGGTGATGAGTTGTTAATGTTAGTCAGTGCATAAGAGAAGTTGAATAGTAGTAATACAGTTACGTAATAAGATGAACAATTTAATGAGTCGGTTTTGATTAGGATGTACACAGAAACGAAGGAAAATATGGAATTATTTAAGAGTTGTGTATAAATGCAAATGTTATAATGAGTTAAAAAAAACAGACACACAAAAATCAAGACAGTAGAAATGAACACAGTTGCTGCCATGATAGTAGAAGTGGTGGGATGATTTCCTTTTGTATACATAACTCTGGATTTTTTTCAGCTGAATGTCTAAGGCGACGAAAGCGTATTGCCTTTGGTAGGTTATTCTTCACTTTGTAGATCAAGGAAGTGACATTTGTTGAGATGCAAGGGTTAGTGTTGTCAAGGTGTTCAATTATCGCACTGCTTATAGAACCACTACTACTTTTTTGCAGCCATGCTGCGGGATAGTGTTCTATAATCCTCTTGGACAGGATACGCTTTGAATGACCGATGTACCTGTCTGCACAGCAACAGGTAAACTGATATATGCAACTGAAAGTGGCCAGATGCGCGATCTTGTCCTTAAGGCTTTTGCAGATCAATGGACGACTAGAGAACAGTACTGTTAGCATTGCTATGAAGAATGTTCTTCTCAAAGATGCTGAAATTCTTCTATTAATGATATCGCAATATTCTTATCGGCAAAGAATGAAATAACCAGGATTTTGTGAAAGTAAATTCATTTTTTTTAGTCTAAGCTACGATATTTAGACAATAAAATAGCAAAATATTTACGGTCTGAAAAAAAATCTATGTACAGGACAAATGTTGATTATACTCAAATATCCAGTAGTGTATTACAACTTCTGTCTGTTAATTTTTATATATGTATAATAATGTAGATTTGACATTGAATCTTAAGAGTTCATCGTTAAGAAATCTTAAACAAATATTTGTTTTTATGCTCTTTGATAATCTCATCAGTAAGATAACTGCAACTTTCAAAATACTCATATTTTATTTGGAGAGAAAAAACAGCAATATTGAAGGTAATAACAACAATTCAAAGTGCACCATGATGTTGAACCACCCTACGATGATGGTCATATTGCAAAGTTGACTGATAGAATTCGGTCTTTACCAAACACAAAGGATTAGACACATGACACTAGTTACTTACCACTTGGTTATCAGGCAAAGTACCCAATAGATTCCTACAGCAGGTCAATCGCCAGCGCAAATAGCTTTTCAAGTGTTACGTCTCTGACTGAATCACTGGGTGGTGGCATGGGTTCGAATCTCAAAGGGGTCATAAGGTCCCTCAAGATTGCAGATATGCACGAGACCTAGGTCAAGCAAGGTATGTTGGCGATTGTCTTGAAACACTTAATAACAAAGTAGCACTTATTTAATTGTGGGTCGTCGGTGCGACGATGACATGGAGGAGATCGTGCGAAGAGGAGATGAGAGACTATGGGCAATAGTTGGACCAAGCTGAATAGAACAGCACAAAGTGGGTATGTGTTGTTGATGCCCTATGTTCCGCTAGGAACCCAGGGAATCATAATAATAATAACCTATTTAAATTCAGAAATTAGGAATAAAAATCAGTGCAACTACAAATATGTCCTGTCATATGTCGGCCGAATTTGACGAATCTCTAGTAAATTTGCCAAGTTTTTCTTCATATAGTTTTGCACATCATTTGATGCCACGGAAATTACCATGCTGTTTAACTCATATAAGATATTCTTGACTGCGTGTAAACGACATGTTACTAGCCTATTCAAACACATTAGAGTAAATATGTCCAAATACTAGTGTCATTCATGATTTTATGGTTTTGAATCACTTAACAATATGTCATCTGCTCTCCGTGATAATCTCACTATCAATTAACAACATCCCATGCCTCTCTAATTCAGAAAGTGAGCTAACTGGCCAGGTAGTGTGAAACGAACATCAGGTGGGCAGTCGGGTCTCGTAAGTAGTTCGCTAGTTCGAGTCCTGCCATGACCTAGTTAATCTCCAATTGTCACCCATTACATGAAGTACGGTCTTCTAATTCAAGGCTCTATCTGAGATAGCTTCACATCCAATTTTCATCGGTCATCCTTTTGAATACTATATGAATGAATGTAAAGAAAACATGTGTTCAGCACTTTTTAACTTAAAAAGTCTTTGTTTTCTTTGTTAAAGTGTGATCACCTTTCATAGGTTTTATTTACGACTACGTAAATCTCATTAGAGGTTGTTTTGCCTCTTTGATTTATGAAAGACCTGTTTGCTTTTAAATTCGACTGACTGAGTTTTCAACGTAGAACTTAGCACAAAAGTAAAGCAGTTTAAGTCACCATACTCCGTTCAGCAGCACACAAAGGTAGAGGAAAAAACCTCAAAGGAGCACCATAATGATCAGAAATGTACAAAAGAAAGAATACGTACGTGGAGATTCTGAAGAATGATTGCAACACTATATATTGTAGTTTTTAACATTCTCATTTGTTAGCCGATTTACTTTTTATCATTTTGCCCACTTGCGACAGATAGATAGATAGCTGTTTCCTTGACATGGTGATTGGGCCTACATATCACAATGATCCAACTAGCTACATTGGCTGGAATTAACGTTCTGGTTAGTCCGCCCATGTCAGAAAGGTTGTTTGGTTAGTGGTTAGACTAAAAGCGGTTACCATCATAATGTAATTTGTTTACACTATCTCTGTTGGGCATCTGTGGGAAAATTCGTAGTGATGGCGAACATGGATGACACTTGAGAGGTATGGTGGTGTTCCCCTCAGACAACCAGCAAGCAAGCCACTTATGCTTCCTGTCTGCTCTAGGGAGGAAGGCTTGAGAAGATTGGCTGTGAAAATAGTAAATCCTGACTTACACTATGACGATCTGTAGTTGGCGGTAAGATCTTCACACAGACATAACTTCAAAAGCCTATTTATTCAGTCACATTGCACACTTACTTATTATAAGTGGATATGACTCATCGGCTCAACTCTCACAACTTTCAGTCAGTGGCTTTAGGGTTTGTTTCCTATGCCAATCCAGTCTACTTTGACCTCGGCATGGCGACTGGATAGTATCACCAGTCCTCACATAGTATTTATGGCTGTTTATCCTGGTGCTTGATAAAATCTATTTAGACGTTGTTTTTGTTGAGTTTTGTTCCAGTGTCTAGTAATTAACGACAGTAGTGTAGACATGTTTTATAATTTTCAAAAAAAAGTATCGACGCACTGTTTTATTCATTCACAATTGTGCATAAATTATGTGACTGATCAATATTTATGTCGGTATGCTTAGGTGAATAATAATAATAATAATGTTTGTTTTGTTTTCAAAAGTCGACTGGGGTTTCTGTCTTACTTTCTAACTGTTCGATTTCGTTTTGATAATTATGCATGCATTAGCTTTCATATGACTGCAATATTTCACTTTAGAATATATACATGACTCTGAATTCTGATTTCTATAAGCTACATTGTCGACTGGTTAAATTAGAATCAAAAGACAAGATATTTTTGATTGAACACTAGTCAGTAACTAGTGCAATGTGTTTAGTCCTATCTTCGGTGCAGACTGAATTCTATCAGTCATGTTTGCAATGTGGCCACCATGATGCGGGTTTGAATCTCAGAACGGACACCTGTTCCTTCAAGGTTGCAGATACACTTTGCTGATGAGTGCCAACTAGCACGAAACCTAGGTTCAAGGCTTCCTACCGATTGCCTCCAACCATCTAAGACAAGATATTTATTACCTTCCCAATGTTCACGTTCAGTTTATTCTGTATGTGTATGTCAGTAACCTGCCTGCGTAATCATGGTTATCAAGTGTTGGTTTGAAGGCATTTCATTGGTTACAGGCTTGATCATGAATTGAAATCAGTTAGAGAACCATTGTAAAAAATGGGAGTACTGGACAGGTGTTTTGTCCTAATTTGGAATTCTTCATCAGTAACCACCCATCGGGGTTCGAACCCAGTTGCTTCGGGTTACAAGGTGAGCTTGTGGATCATTCAACCACTGGGACTCGATCCCGTGGCCTTTGAACACCAACTACTACCAATTCGTGATATATACAGCGCGACCTCTAGCCAATATATCATAGACGAGTAACTGCTCTGTTAACTGACTTGCTGGAACCCATTGGTTACGACTTCTAACTCGGACTCCAGATAGCTTCTTGTATAGAGCCAGTCACTAGTGAGGTTTGATCACGTCTGTAACCAATCAAAATCCCCATGCATATCAACTCTTCAGAATTGTTTGAAGCGTTCGTGACTCAGTACTTTTGAAATGCGGTGAATAACTTTAAAAGTTATGTTGTTAATTTCGACTTGATTTCCCATATCAACAAGATGGGATAGTATGCACTTATGTATCGCTTTAGTCGAACTTTCATCGCAAAGTATTGCCTCTGTCTTCTCTTTTTTCTGTGTTATTACCTTTTATTATATTGTGACAGAATTTTTTTTAAAGCATTATTCTTGCATTGAGTCTAGTTCAAAATGAAGTGCTCATCATGGTTATGTTAATTATCACAGTCTTTTTACATCTTTTTTGTTTTGATTATTATTTTCCTATTTCTTCAGAATTAGAAGATTTCAAAGTTCGTCGAATTAAATATTTTCATAAGAATTTAGCTGATCTTGCTGAACTAGAAGTTAAACACGCCAAGGTGAGTTTCGTTTCTCTCAGTTACGCAAACAAGAATGTGCACATCTGACTGACTGACTGAGACTCAATATGCAGGAGTGCAACAGTTCAAATTGCCACATTCCATGTAGCACAAGAGAGTGAAAAAGGGATTAGAAATTATTATTATTATAAGCAGAAATGTACGGGAGAAAGAATAGTAACATGATGAAATATTAAGGTTTAATGGATATGGTAGTTCACAGAGACTAGACGCATTTGCGCCATTAAGGGGACGACTTCGAACGGTATCACCGCTGATTGTCTCCAGCCTTCATTGGTTCTTACCATCCCGAGGACCCCAACCAGTCAGTCAGGCAGTCTACACCTCCCTACGTGACTGGCTGACTTAAACTAACTGTTATGGATTTCTTTCACTGATACCATGTGTTTGTTTGATCAGCACTAGCTGTTTTCCAACCTGATCAATCCTATGTCATCCAGCCAACATTGCCTGTCGAGGAAGGGGATGACTTGGCTTGCGTAACACATATGTCCTAGCTATCTCAATCAATAGTAACTTGGAGAAATATGACGGTGTAGTGGGCACGTGTGATCACAAAGAGCGAATGTATCTGCATCACTGAGAACAATTTTGAACCAAGTCACTGATACTCTGCAGTCATTGGTTCTTAGCACCCTGAGGACCCCACTCAACCATTCTGTGTAGTCAAGTTATTTTTGAGTTCTTTGAATAGAAAAAAATAGTGTTGAGTCTATTGATATAAGAATAAAACTTGGGCACTGTGGTAGAGTGTAATTCCATTATGGGTAAATTTTATTTTGATAAAGTCTCACAGTGTTTTACAGTAATATTTACTGATGAAGTTTCGAGCACAATTTATTGCTCATGATCATATCAAGGTAATCACACGACTTCCTAAATTCATTTATATAGTTCCATTGTTTTTCACTTGATTTGATTGATACTAATATTTTCCATATTTCGGGGATGAGTGATGATTCATTTCTATTGCATGTGTTGGGTGTAGATTCGATGAACAAGGATTCAGTAATCAAGGACCCAGTGGACTCAATTAGACAAAATAATATAATTTACAAAATACCCTGCAATGAGTGTAAGGTCAACTACATAGGTCAAACTAGTAGGTCAGGGGTAGTCAGATTGTCAGAACATAAGAATTTAGCTAAGGTAAGAATGGTTGACCCAGAGAAGATAAGTAATTTAGAAAAAAGCTTAGCAATTGCAATGCATGCATTAACACACAACCACACAATACGGTGGGAGAGGGTCAAAATTCTAAAAAGTAATCTAGGTAGGTGGAGAGAGAGGTTGATTACTGAATCCTTGTTCATCGAATCTACACCCAACACATGCAATAGAAATGAATCATCACTCATCCCCGAAATATGGAAAATATTAGTATCAATCAAATCAAGTGAAAAACAATGGAACTATATAAATGAATTTAGGAAGTCGTGTGATTACCTTGATATGATTATGAGCAATAAATTGTGCTCGAAACGTCATCAGTAAACATTACTGTATAACACTGTGAGACTTTATCAAAATAAGAGTGTTGAGTCTATATTCTTAGAGTCCCCATCTATGTGAGCGAAAAACACACAAATATTATATCATCATCATTTAAGACTTAAAATAATGTTGATCAGTGCACCAGTTTTCGCGGGATCAAATGGTGCGCTTCTTCTCTATTTTGGGACTTTTTAATTGTTTTGTTTTATTGTGGACTGAAAGAAATCAGAAACCTTGAACTACGTGACTAAATGATAACATTGTCACAATAAAGCCTAACGGTGCTGTTGAAGAAACTAAAAGTAGAATGAGACTACTGTTTTCAGCGCATCTTAATCTTCAAGTCCAACACCTCAGAATAATTAACTTTGTTGAAAATCGCCCTAACTCTACACCAGAATGGTTATTGGGTATTCTTTATTTGTTTATTTTTGTTTCTTCGTGTAAACATCACACGAAAATTTCTTGTTAATCTTAAATATACTACAGAACACCGAGGCAATGAAAATACTCAACCAACAACAAATACCAGTCCCTATAAATGGAAGAAATTCAGCAGAAGTAGTCTTTTTTTACTTACCTAACTTGTACAGCATCTGTCTAACTATACGTGACAGCGTGGATGAGGATATCAAGGCCGACCGTAATACAGTTGCTCATTACTCTGAAATCATTGTAGAGATCTACAGCGTTTAGCGCAAAGAAAGAACAATAATCTGAAATTTCAACACTAATGGCAAGTGAGTCCTTCTGTATGCTTCAGCAGGGACTTGGTGGTATGCGTGTTATCGGAAGCACTTCCAACAAGCTGTGAATCTGTATCAACACCACCTAACTTCGCTGGTTCCATACTAAAGATCAGATGTTCGTTGAGAAGGGATAAATCACGAGGCACCCTGGCAGACGGCAAAGCAGCCAACCAATATGCGGAAGGGAATCGAGTCTGTCTGTTTTCGACATAGAACTTTGCACATATGTGCGTCAGTTCAAGTCGCCACACTCCATGAAGCACACAAAGCAACAGAAGAAAGTAGGAGAAATGCATATTAGAGACAGTAAACAGAGGTGTGAGACAAAGGAATAGTAATAACGAAGAACAAAACAGTTTAATTGGAAATCATAAGTCACAAGGAGTGGATGCATCTGTGACAGCCATTGAGAACGATTTTGTGCCATGTCACCAATTGTTTCCAACCATTGGTTTTTACCGTCCCGAGGACCCCAACCAACACCTTCCTACGTGGCTTAGACTAACTATTGTGGATTTCATTGACTGATGCCATGTTTTGGTTTGACCACCGCTAGGTCTTTTCCAGCCTGACCCTATATCAGCTAACATTGCCCATCGAGGAAGGCGATTACTTGGCATACGTAATACATGTCCCAACCATCTCAGTCGATGTAATTTCACAGTCTCGTCGACTGATTTCCCCTCCTTACCTAGCACTCGACGCCTAACCTCAATATTGCTCACCTTACTATACCACTTCACGCGGGAGATAGAACGCAGATACCTATGAGCGAAGACAGCTAATCTTTTCATGTCTTCCACTCTCAATGGCCAGGTCTCACAGGTGGCCATAAAGGAGGACGGAGCGGACTGCTAAATGGAATCGAGGCGAGACCGTTGATTGACTGATATCACATGCAGGGCGGGTTCTCGAGTTGGACGTGAATATGAATGAATGAGTCGAGTGTGAGTCTAAAGGTGAAATGGAGGATATCATGCTGGGAATAAATTACAGCTGGTGTTTATTCGTGGAGTCAGTTGAAATTGACAACCACTGAAGCTGTATATTTTGCCTGGAACGCAAGAAAAAGATAGAACAATAAAGCGACTAAATGCGAAAGTCACTTGGTTGGTTGATATAATTATAGCTCATCGCCTTGTTTGAATATTTTGCTTAGTTACAACTGACTACCGCCTAGAATTATCAGTTGTTGGTTTGCAGGGATTTGATTGGTTACAGGTTGGATCATGAGTTGACGTCAGTAAGAGAACCATTGGAAAACCTAGGAGTACTGAACAGCTGTTTCATCTCAGTTTGGAACTCCCTAGTAATATTCACCCACTGCGATTCAAACCCAGTACCTTCCGGTTACCAGGGGCGCTCGTAGACCATTCAGCAACCGCGATCCTACCCCATAACCCAAGAATTCCAACTTCTACCGATTCGCAACATATGTATACGTATATTGCGCAACATATAGCTAATACCATAGGCGAGTAACTTCTGCCTTACGTGAGTTGGTAAACCCTGCTGGTTTCGACTTCTGACTGGAAGCTTAGAATTTTTTAATGTTTATTATATGTTATTCAAATAATAAATTACAGTATAACTGTCTATTTTCATATATATATTGTCTAATATCGTGTATTCAATTTGTTTTAATATTCATATTCCCATGTTTACGTGTTTTTCTCTCTCTCTCCTTGGTTCAGTCACAAATCGAGTTAATTAAATCCACACTAATACGATTAAAGTCAATCACTCCACAAGTGTCAAAATCACCTATCACTACAGTACAGTCAGTGACTCGTTCACACAGTAGCAGCAATAATTCAACAAATACTACTACTATTAATAATAATAATAATAATAACAATATAACATATCCTTCAAATACTTCACCTGATTCCAATTATCCTACAGCTGATTAATTTAGAATTTTTGAGAATATGTTCACCTCAGTTAATCTCTTTCCCCCCCCCCTCTCTCTTTCCCTGGATCCTTTTGTGTATCTTATCTCAGTTGTGTGAAAATCCAACATCAATCAACAGCCTTATCTCAGTCAGTGATATATTAGTAATCCAAAATATAAAACAAAAAAACAACTTCAGTTGTTCACATATAATGAATATTTTCTATGGCCTTATGGAGTAATCTTCTGATTTTTTTATCTTTTGCTTTGCATATCTACACATCCACACAAGCACATCTATCTATTTGTTTTAATTTACGTGTTTTGTTTAAGTACTTACTTTCTCGATTCTCACACTATATATATATATATATATATATATATATATATATATATATATATATATGTATTTGTGCATGTGACTGTGTATTGAGTTAGGTATCAATTACTAAAGTTGTCAAGCTTAATTGTCGGTGCGGGGAAGAAGAGGCATTGCAATGGTGATGGGTTGAAGGTGTGTGTGTGTGTGGATGGATCAGCAGTACATTTAATTTAAATTTCGACCACAGTATATTTCTACAAGAAATTAATTTACATTATTTTTAAAACAAAACTCTTTTTTGTGATCTCTATTCCCCGATGAAAATAAGAATAACACATGTTTATTATTACTACTGTGATCAAAATTAATGACCTTTTGATGACTTTATAACTTGACTAATCTTCATAGATTGAAGAAGAAAGATATAAAGAAAAACATACGATCTAATTGATTCTTTCTCACACTCTCTTTCTTACTTTCTTTTGTTATCTTTTTCATTTCATTTTATTTGATTTTTTTACCTGGTGGTGTTATTGTGGTTTTGCCAACAACCTAAGAAGCGTGTGTGCATGTGATGGAATGGGTGTGGTTTTTTTCTATTTCTTGCGTATTTATATCTGTTTGTGTGTGTATGTGTGTTTGTACATTGATTTGCTTTGTGAATAAATTATTATTTTATGTATTCTCGCTTGTGATGAATTATATTTATTAACAATATCTTAGTTTTTATATGGGGTTAGGATGTTATGACCCTGGATTTCATGCCTTTTGACACTTGTCAGCAGGGCGGATTTGAGATCTTCATGAAACTCATGTCTTTTGTAAGATCCACACCCCGGGTCACCCTGTGCTGTGACTAGAGAAGTTACCACACCGCTACTCAGGCTCGCGACTGACTTCCTTTAAGACTGTAATTGGTTACATTGACTGTGCCCTAATTTTTTTTCCTTCACGTTCCCCAGTGGAATATAGGGCTTCAAGCTAGTGGCTTGAATTTTCTGTAGCAGTGCTTATTTTACAGGATGGGGTTGCTAGCCTCATGCCCAACCTTTCCTCTTCATCATTATTATTTCTGGCTAAGCGAGGTAAAGGAGTGCGCCGGCCGGGGATCGAACCCCGGACCATGTGCATGGTCGGCGAGCGTCCTTACCGCTGTGCTACCGACGCTGGTCCGGCGCCCTAAGTAGTAAGGGATTAATGTCATGCGTCTAGTTCTTCGTTTGGTATAGATTAAATTCTATCAGTTAAATTTGCAATGTGGACACTATGCGAGGTGGCTAGCCATCAAGGGGAACTGTGAATTGGTGTTAGACGATTGGAGGAGTTTGGGGGAGGGGAGGTCTAGTGGTAAGAAGATTAGATACTGATGGGAACTGGAGAACGATAGATGGTTGGTTTTGTTGAAAATAGGTATTAAGTTATGAACGGAATTTATTTGATTAGCTAACGTGGATCAGTAGTAGTATAGTGAAGAGCTTATTGAGAGTTATATCGTCTGAAGTAATAAATGCCAGGTATCATTGTTCTTTAATTTCATAAATAACGTACTGTGGCCGTAACCATGACTGATTTCGATGCTTCGATGATTGACTTGCTACCAGATAAAAGACTCCTTTATTTTAAGTGTGCAGATAATATTGTCGTTTTTGGCAAAAGTGTTGATAAAATTTAGTTTATTGAACACTCAGGATAAGTATATTTGACGTCTGATTTAATTTTATCACTTATAAGATGATGCTCCAGGACTGGTCTGCACCGACTGCTAGTTAGGAGATAAGGAGTCGAATAATTCGGTATTTTAACTACTTCGCTTATTTGAAGAGTTGAGTCAGCCTTAATGAACTTGTTTGCTGACGAAATATCAGCACAAATACAAAAGCTTCTCCGAGATTTTTCAGCTGGCGTCATTGTTGGAGCCCGAGTGATATCCGGTTACCTATTAAAAGACGTGGGTATTACTGTGGAGACGAACCAAACGAGAACCTATTGCCCAAAAAATATGCCGAAGAGAATGGAGATGGATCGGACACACGTTGAGAAGACCGTCGAATAATATCACGCGCCAGACCGTCGCTCGAGTGTGGAATGATGAGTTGGCCATGGGTCCGAGGGTGACATGAAGGAGATGAGAGACTGTGGGCAATCGTAGGGGGAGTTAAAGATGACCGCAGAGAATAGGAAAAAGTGGAGATGTACTGTTAAAGTCCTTGTTCCGCTTGGAACCCAAGGAAACAACAATAATGATAACATCTCTGTCATTCTCTACGGCTTAGACATAATCGTTAAAAGTGGGAAATATGGAGAGATTGGCCTTATGATATATAGTGAGAAGGGAATGTCACTCGGTGACGTAAAGTCCCATAGATTGAAATGTCCCCTACTTTCACGAACGAGGGTTTTTCAATCACATCAGACTAGATTTTAAGTGTTAAAGGTAGCCAGATGGAAGCATGAAACTGATACATGAATTCTTTGAATTTTGGTTTGAGTTACGTAGGGAGGTATACACTCCGTCTATCAGGTCCTCAAGATGTTACAAACCAATGGTTGATAACATGGCTTAAAACTATTCTCACTAGTTTAAATGTATTTAACTTCTTGTTATCATACTGGCTCAGTAAATTCTCACTAATGTTCCTGTAGTTATTATCTCTTCCATACGTTTTCATCCATTGTCATTTTAACTCAGACTAAAATTGTTTCTAATTCTAGTCTTCATGGCGAGCGGTCCACTGAAAGAGACAATCGCGAGTTTGCATATGTACAAGCGATATATTGACGACACCTTCATTAACGACAACTGTTCAACTACCGAGCTTCTTAGAAAATTTAGTGGTTCTCATCCATCGATGCTTTTCACTATGGAAGAAAAATTGAGTTCTGCATCTCACTTCTTAGAGGTGATGTTTGATAGAAGAGAAGATGGCGCGTTACAAAGGTCGATTTATCGAAAGCCAACATTTACAGGGCAGTAAACTAACTTCAACAATTGGGTACCTCTAGGTAGGAAGAGAAATCTTATCCGTACTCTGTGCTCCAGAATTCGGAAAAATATGCTCTATAGATGTGATCGACACAGAACTGGAAAAACGTCGCACAACTCTCTTAAATAATGGATACCCTAGAAGGTTTACTGAGGCAACCATCAAGAAAGAAACCATTCCCAGCCAAATCACAATACAAAAGAAGACACTATTTAGGAGTTTAGAGTTCAAAAGTGACACTGTTGCTGAAGTGGTTATCTAAATGTATTAAACGCTGTTTTTATGCTTTACGAGTTGATCACGGACTGATATCAGTTAGAGAACCATTGAAAACCAGGGAGTACTGGACAGCTGCTGTTTCATCCTAGTTTGGGAATCATCGGCAGTACCCACCCACTGGGACTCGATTCAATGGCTCATGAATTCTAACTTCTACCAATTCGTGCACCTGGCTTACATTTAGTATTTACCAGCCGAAATATGATTCGTCAATGCGTTAAGGATAAACAACCGCTTATGTCCATCTCGATGTGCATGTACTCATTCAAATGGTCGTGTGGAGCTGATTACATTGTACGTTGTAAGCATGTTCTCCGCGTAGCTGAACACTCCACGGTTTGATAAATGAAAGATGAGCAGAGGACGACGAAGTCTTCAGTTTGTAAGCACATTCTGGGGTTAGGTCATTCAGCCAACCACACTTGATTTATCCTTCAAAGTTATTTACAAGACCACCACTCCAATAGCTTACGTTTTCTCCCCTTATGCATAGCCAAAGCTCTGGCTATACACGGACAAAAGCCTAAATTATGTTTTCAAAAACGCTTTGTCAAAGTCCTTTCTTTACCTTGGTCATAACAATATTCTTTTATTTTATTTTTATTTCACCACTTGAATTCATTCCACTTCATCTTTGCGGTCTTTATTGTTATCATCATAGTACTCTTAATTTTTTAGACAATACTTGATCTATAATTTTGAAATCTTTATACCATTTCACTTATTTAATAACTTATTCTGGAAGTTGCATCAGGCAACACCAGCGGGTTGATCACTGACGAAATCTCAGCACGGATATAGAAGAGTTGTTCGGCATTCGCCTGCCAACTTGTGCCATCTCTGGCTTAGTAGACGTGATATCCAGCTATCGACCAAGGGGTGTATGTACTGCTCAGTAGTCCACTCCGTCCTCCTTTAAGCCTGTGAGACATAGCCTGTCTTTGATCACAGGTATCTGCGTTCTATCTGCCGTATTAAGTGGTATAACAAGGTGAGCAATATTGTGGTTAGGCGTCGAATATTATATACGGGGGGGGGGGGGAAATGGTCGACGAGGCTGTGAACTTACACCGATTAAGATGGTTAGGCCATGTGTGGTTGGGGTCCTCAGGATGATAAAAACCAGTGGCTTCAGACAATTGGTGACATGACTCAAAATCGTTACCAGTGGCTGGTACAGATGCACTCGCTCTTTGTGATTTGTCATATCCAATAAAAATCTAGTGTTCTTCAATATTAATGTTCCTTTTGCCTCAACTTCTGTTTATTATCTGTCTTTTCAACCTCCCTTTAATCTCTTTTCTTGCTTTGTGTGCTATATAGAGTGTGGCAATTTGGACTGTGGCACATCTTCACAAAGTTCTATGTTGAAATCAGTCAGGCAGTATTCAATAATGTTTAAAAGTGTTGTAATTCATGCACTTGAACTCTACCCCCCTGATGCATCATTTTAATTATCTATGTTCTTATCATATGTAATATTGACTGAGCAATTTCTAGTGCCACTTAATGCCTTCTTTTTCTGTAATATAAATACGATTGCACAGTTTGAAAATGAAGTCGTTAAAAAGAAATATCTCTTCGCTGAACAAAAACTGTGTTTTTCCTTCTAATACGAGTCTCAATACTTGCTAAGCTTATGAGAATATGATTGATTCTAACGTAGATTTAATCTCCATTTAGTGTGTACAAGAGAACCATTAATACTATGAGTTCTTACTCATTACTGTCACACAGTCTTGCACGAAACTGGGGTTTAAAAATTGTGAGGTTAAGAAACAAGTGATTTGTTTCAACAATCTTTGCGTTCTGAGTGGAACATAGCACTTAAGCTTTAAAGTCTTAATAGTTGTGGTGTTTTATATGGCGTAGGGTTGCTAGCCTCATGCCTAAATTTCCCTCCTCACTGCGTTTATTATTATTTATTATTGTTTCCTTTAATTCCTAGAGCTACATAGGGCTTAAGCCGTGCGTCTCCATTGCGTTCAGTTCTCTGCTAGAATCTTCACCTGGCTCCAAGTCTGTCCACACGTTTTCATCTCCTCTTCACATGACCTCCTCCAAGTCACCCTCACCCTTGCACTGACGACCAACTCGCCGCTTCCCTTTCGGGTTCCACTTGAGTGATGGGCTGTCGTGTGATGTCACTTGATGGTTGGTTTCCTCAGAGTATGACCAGCCAATCCATCTCCATTTCTTCCTGCCTATTTGTTTCACAATCGATTCCTGCTGAGTTGGTTCGCTCATTGCCAGAGATCTCTGTTGCTGATCTTTTCTGGGTGGCCATCTGATCTTCAGTGGTATTGAGCGAAGACAACTGTTAATGAAGGTCTGTAGTTTGTTTGAGATGTTCTTTATGACACGCAGTGCAAGTCTCTGATCCGTATGGTGAGTAGCACTAGCTTCGCATTTCAGTTGAAAATCCGGATCTCGTTT